TCCTACCTACCTACCTACGTACAGGTAAGTATTGATACTAACTGTCCTTCTTACTCCACGTCTGCCATAATAATAATGTAAAAAGTAAAAAAAAACACACCATAAAACCAGTTTCGCATTATAGATATGTTTATGCAGTTCCATATTTAGTATGAACTTTAATTAGACTTCAGTAGGTTGTTAGAACCACCAATCAATGATTTGGTGTCCGATTATACATATACATATGTAAGTAACTTATAAATAGAATAACGAGTGTGAGATATGATGAATGATATATAAATATTCGATTCAATGTTCTGTACACAGCAAATTGTAAATTTATACCAATAGACTTAATATTTAAGATACGAGTCTAGTTGTTGTTTTATTCTTGTTAACACAACATGAATGAATGAATGAATTAATGAATGATGAATGAATGAATGAATGAATGAATGAATGAATGAATGAGGGAATGAACATTGAATAAATAAAAAAAAAACTGTAAAATTTTGTCAGCTTGCAAGGGCAAAATCCGAACCCAACATCTCGATATAAACAAGCAATATGATGAACTGTGTTATACAACTACTAAACAAAGGCAGCATGGATTCCCACATTAAATCGGATAGGAAACTTGGTGTTAATATCAAGAGGAATGGAATAAGTTGTATTAATTTAATCTCGATGTTCCCATGTTTCGACCTATATACTGGACTACTGTTATGGTGAACCATTGTCATGCAACGTCCCTTTAACGTAATAAGAACAGAGTTGTGCTGCTCCCTTTACTACCCACAACTAAATGGTAATGTATATGTATAAGCTTACGCTGCATATGTGCAGTAGATCAATGACGTACTGATATAAATGTGCAGGTCGGTGGTCCCGTGTTGCACGTGAGGTTTCGAGACCCTTGCTCCCTCCCCCACGTCGAGAGGTCTGTCTGCCTGCTTGCCTGCCAGACTGCCATGTTAATCCCGTCACGGGACATGTAATTGACATGTAAGGGAATAATATCACCAATTTTTCTACGGAAGTTAAACATTACATGCCAGAGGTAGTTTCTCTTTGTATGTCCTTCTATCTTCAAACGGTTTCTATTTCAACAGAGCATCTGTTCAAATCTACCATTTAGGCGTGTTGACCTGTTACTTAGCTATGCTCCTTTTAGTGATTTGTTTCTCGTTTTGGCCTCTTAAAACTTAAAAAAAGGTTCAGTCTTCAGAACGATACTAATCAGAGATTACATTTATCTGGTAAATCGTTGATTGGAAGGTAGAACTCTTTGACCTATTTACAAGTAGCCTGTCTTTGTAAATGCGCTTTTGTAACCTTTCAAGTCCCCTCTTAAAGTATTCTATTTTAGTGACGGTCTCCACAGAGAGTTGGTTAACAACTCTAGTACAAATATCCTAATTAAATATCATCAGCCACGTCCCGTCTTTCTATAGATTTATTACAGTATATGATTGGTAACGTAAGAAAAAACCCAGATCAATATAACAATTATCAATAGCAATAATTCATTCGTTAATTCTGTGATGTGAATTTGAGAGAACAATTAGTTAATAACAGAATGTGAGGGTAGTGTGTATGGGTAGTTAGCATCGGAAGCATAATGGAAGCGTGTTAAATTTAGCACCAGGAGAGCTGGGAAATGTGTCTGTATCAGGAAGATGACATTTCGTTATGCCAGCATGGAATAGTTCATTAAAGAAATGTTCTTGTTCCGAGACAGCAAATAATCTGTGCAATAAAAGATGTTTTGTTTTGTTTATTTTGCACGGGTTACATGATAAATCGTATTTCCAGTAAACGTTATTTAGGATTCTTTATGTATCATGTTGTTTTCGAGACAGATATTTTAGATGAAAAGAAATTCACTACATATCATATTTCGATATCCATTTTCATATGTGTGTGATAAGATTATATCATTTATGAAGGAATTTGAATATATTTTAGAAGAAACAGAAATGTTACGGACAACATCATGTAATATACTGTGGCTATATATTAATATACCATAGCGTCATCCAACATTGCGAAAATCGAAATTTGAAAATCGATGTGAAAAGATAACAACGTAAATTAAACTGATATTTCATTTAACCACAATTATCTCAGAATAAAATATGCAGGTCGCCAAGATACCGAGTCGATAATCATGGAATATACCGATAGATCATGGCTGGTAATCGGATCATTATAACGACCTGAACAGTTCTCCAGCGTAGATAGATACTCCTCCGGTAGTAGACCCTAGCTACGGCATCAACATAACATATCTACGCAGCATGCCCTAATACGTAATCTGAATAAACTGTGGTAAAGGAAGGAATACTGTTTTTGCATTAACTAGATAAACAGTTGTTTGTTTTATATTAGTTTGTGGTTTATAAAACAAAAAATGAATTGACTTACCTTTTAGAGAGGTTTCTGTTATTTACAGGTTGATGGTCCGTGTAATAGATTTTAATTGTGTACTTAGTTGCCTTGTGTGGCAGAGTTGATTCATCGTTACAACTTAAGTAATATATATCTGTGTTTATTTTTGTAGGTAATTTATTCATACCTCTAGCCAAATTTAAAGGTTGCTAGTGTAGGTGTTTAACATTTTCTTTTTAGGTTAGTGTATCGGGTCTCAACATAATCGACAAGCAGGATTTAACTGATCGCCTAGTAAACATAATTGGTTTGAATTGGAATCTGAATAGAAGTAATAATGAGATTTTCAGAGGAACACAATTATCAGCCAAAATAAAAATGAAGTAATTTTTAACATTATTACTAATTGAAATTGAACAATAATGGTTATATTTTGATTTTTTAACCCTGATATTTGATACCAAATTACGTGTATATATTGATAAAATGATCGCTTTCACTATGACCTTACCTCACCAGTCAAAAGTGTTCCAGTTGCATTCAATTAAAGAAAGACTTAATTAACATATACTTAGATAAGAAGTCGCGTTTGTTTATTCTGTTTCCTGCAACACTTGTGTTAATTATCAGTTTATTCGAAATTATAAGAAGTCAGAGTGACGTATACCGGAAGTGTCAATTATACCCCCAGCTGAATTGTCGTAATTAAATTCATTCATTAAGGCACGTATGTTAACTATTGCTGATATACTACGCCATGAGTGTCGTTAACGCATGCATTAGTTCTGAAATAGCTACACATTCTGTCAATGCACTGGTAAGTGTATACATGCTAAAATGTAATAAGATTAATTTTAACTTCGTTCAATGATGATTAAGGAATATATGAGTGCATACACATTTCATGCAATGATAGAATCGATGAGTGAGCCGATAGCCTTATCCTTTCTTTGTGTGTATTCTACAAAGGAGAGTTGACATATATTCAAATGTGTAATATATGCTCAGAAACGGATGCTACTACACAACCTTATCATATTGAAATGGTCCACGAGTGTGGCAATACTTATGAATTACCTCTCGTAAAATACTGGGGATCGGCTGTGCACTCTAAGGGACAAAAGGAAAACTCTCTATCTCCAGTGGTGTGCACCAAAGTTTCCATTGATTGTTATATGAATGAGTAAACTGACTAGGTTTCTTTTTCTATTATTATTACCTATCTCTTATATTTACTACGTAATATACTATGCTTCTCGCCAAATATAAACATATTCACACCAATGTAATCTGAATTGATAATACCTTATTGTTTAAGTTTTGTCCATGTACGTATATCTTTGAGTTATACTTGTATCTCGAAAATTATTATTATTCAAGTTAAACTAAACTAAATGAAATTTCAACAAACTAATTTAAGGCTGTAACATTTCTGGACGTTTTTCTTTTCTGTATTTTTCAAAACGCAAACATAAGCAAAGTGCGTCTTAAGAATTGATCTCACCGAAGACTCACTGTTTTACATACACTATTTACAATACTGTAATTTACACAGGAGAAGGGTCTGATTTGCATACCACACCAATATAAGGGGTAAGACCCGGCCACCTGGCTCCTTCTTCATTCATCTGCGCAGTGACACAAAATGTGGGTCATTCAAGTTGAGTACGACTTTAAATCACGCTACTATTGCAGTTCCTCCTACTAGTCATGAGAAACATATATTCTTTCACGCTTCATTTTATCAATTCACCAAATATATAATGAACACAATAGTTTGACTAAAAAGCTCTCATAAATATCAAACTTCCAATAATTAGTCTGGGGCACACGACAACAACTTACACAACCATAGTCGCTATCAAACCGATATAACCAACTAACGTCAGATAACAAGGTAAAACGTTATCAAGGTAAGCTTTCAATCACTTGTATGCATCTTTCTATGTTTCAATGTTCGCCCTGTTTACACTCCTAGTAGTGATTATTGATTGTACCCCTAGTATTTTGAGTACAACGAACGCACATGTTTTGCGAATTAACTAAACACACGTGGCTGTGTGTTCATGTCCCAACGGTATATTATCCAAACACGAAAGAATAGCGTTCAAGCATCTGTTTCCACATCATCGTTTAAATCAAAAATTAAAACATTATAGCAATAATGAAATATTGTCCATGCAGTCTCTCTCTTAACCTTTTTTTGAACTTATGATTTAAACGAAACGGAGTATAAAAGTTCAACCGACATCAGAAATGCTTTACACTGCCGCCAATCGGATACACAAAGCACTAACTCTTATTTTACCCACACTTGGTATCACTTCATATTGCATGTGACAAACTAATATATAGAACATATGATACATTATGGCACATGATCAAGACGACGACAATGCTATCATTATAATAAATATGCAAATATTGTTTATAGATATACACCTGTAACAAATATCCGAATATCGCTTCATTTCTCCAACCATTAAGTGTTTTCATCAGACTGTTTAAATGTCGTGCAAAAGCAATGCCTTTAATTAGTTTATGTATCATATCGGATTTTTGCATAAAGATGTATCAATTGTGACATTTCGGTAAGCGTATATTACTACAATTGGATATTGACCTACCTGGTTTAGGATATAGATGTTTATTAATGAATCCGTGATTTAATAAGTCTGCTTCTACGGCCCCCTCCTTGGCACTATCCGTTAATGAAGGAGGGCTGAGCACATGTGCTGCTTCGTACGCACTGAAGAGAGCGAAAACAGTGCAAAGCAAGCTTCCGTCTTTAATCCGCCGCATGGTTTACCTCATTTGGCAAGTTGTATTATTCACTATCACTCCTCAGAATACATGTATAACAATTAATTTTGAAGATAACTTTCATCTGTTAGACATCACATGTCATTGATGTGGCGAATAATTTTCGTGCATTAGAAAAAGCAACATTATATGGCCGGAGAACTTAGCGTACACAGCAATACTCCCAAGTATGGACAACATGTTTCGTTAATCTGGCGCCGGGCCTCGCCGAGTCGACTGACTACTAGCTCCGTATCGTAGTACACAACACTGGGCAACAAAGAGGCGTGGCCTCTATCACCGGAGCAGAACGTACAAACGTCAATCACCAGCAAGGTAGGTTTGTCAATGAAACTTCCCTGCTGGGACTGTACGCATAGTAAAATATAATATACGACCGACAGGGTACAAATATATATACACATGCAAAATCGCATGAAACAAGGGAGTATATCTCACTACGCTATAGACAGACTGCACTGTATTCCGTGAATTTGATTTGTCAGCGATCGTGTTCCGCCCAGTAGATGTGGAAACTATATCAGGAAAATAACCATACCCATTTTTTCACAGCTCTTAAGATTTTATGAAGCGGATTGTAGAGGTAGCTGGCTCGCTTATTTGGCTGGATATGGGTATAACAATGCCAGGGACGGGCATCCGAATGGTATTGCGCTACTTGGGACATATATGAAAGCATGGTCCCTGTAATAAAGTTTTTCGGTCGGAGTGATAGCTGTGAAGAGTATCTGTACAATCTCACTAGCCCTATAGAGCGGGTAAAATTTACATAATTTTTCGTGTGAGCGCTGTATACATCAGTGGCCGGCCTAGCAAGCAAATGGAGCACCTGTTGGCTGTATTGTAGAGCCACCTGTGTAGGGAGCCTCTGTTTCCTTGTATATTGAAGATTAAATTTATAAAGGCGGTGAAGTTGTTTTGTCTCTGCTGCCTTTAATCAGCCCACCTGCATTACCTGGCCGGGTGGTTCATGAATAGTTAGCTTACAGCCGTTCTAAGCACACCTACCCTAAAGTTTACCGCATTTCTTTTACATTGTATCAAATAAAGTTGTAAATTTATCAGTCGATCGTCTGCTGTGTCCTGTGTGATAACATGATACTACGTCGCAAAGTTGGTCGTGTTTGATTTGAAAATCAGTCCGCACTAAAAGTTCGCTTGAATAGATGTTTTGGAAGATAAGACCTGATTCTGTGCTGAACATTATGATTCCTTACCTGCTTTTATATTGCTGATTTCGGCTCATGCTCGACTTATCTACTCTGTCATCAGGTAACATAGTTTGGCACACAAATTCATGTCGTCGCGGTAAAGAATGGTTTTACTGCTGCTACTAGAGATCAGAAAACGTCACCTACAATAATTATCATCCCCATAGTGAAGCATGGCTTTAACATAGTCACACCTGCTACTTCATCGACAATAAGTCAGGGTTTTCTGCAGCGGAAATACTGGTAAGCAATATTTCAGCTTCATTGAAAGTCATAATACCTAATGATAAAACACCATTCGTAATGTTCCTGTTGTAGTTTATCAATCCTTTATATTAAATGTGTAATTATGTCGTTACCATAGCATATTGGTATTTAGTTCTGATTTTGTATATGAAAATATCATCAACAAATTTGAAAATGATAATTTGAAATCATAAACTATGTCGCAAGGGGCGCAGATGGATGCTAAAGAGCGTTTATCGTTTTTCGTCATCCTTCAGTTTTCGTTCTGTTGCGATACCGTAAAAAAATTACAATGAACGTGAGAGAATGGATATTTCCCACATTGAAATAAGTTATAAGGAAGAACAAACTGATTTGCGGCATTACCAAAGCAATCAGAGGTGTAAATGTCACATTTGAATCGCTATTCCAAGCATTCTAAGTATCGAACAGTTCACCTATCACAAATAATTCGCTATTCCAAAGCCTGTATTAATTATTAGGAGTTAAATCAGAAAGTTGATTCGTAACTCACGAGCCTGATAACCAATAAACCACATAAGCATGGATTTCTACCTGGAGTGCTTTGTTCTACATTTTTGGAAATGTTACGTTTCAGCCATGACCTGATTTCTACCTATAGTGGTATGGCTGTATCTACATTGATTAAAGCCTTGTTAGTTATGTCTCATACAATGTTTGACTTTCAAACCGGGTTTTGGATCAACATCAGTACCACGTGTGGAGTAAGAAACATTCATCTCGCTAGACAGCCTAGCCGTGTCTCTAGCATTTCGATGGGTTCGCGAGGTGCAAACGTTTGCTTTTGTTTTTCCTCAATTCGTATCGATTTGTCCCTACGCTTTGGCGCTATTTAAAATATGTCTTATGATATCTCCTCAATACTTTTTTTGTCGGTTTGTTTCGATTTTTAATGTTCTATGGAGTAATTTTGTTTGACTAATACGTAGTGTATTTATTGGTTCATTTTAAAACAAACATGCCTTATGGCAATTTTACTGTTTTTAATTTTAAAATTTCATTATTTGTATCGTTCTGTTATTATATTCTCTCACACATGAGTCACATTATTTTGTTATGTATATCATATAACAAAACTGCAATAACATATATGTACTAATACTTTAATTCTATGACTAATCCCCAATTTACAGAATGAAAAAGTCCTAGTCCTGCAGGAACCCTATATAAGCTCCCTCGTACGGCCTTGTAGTGGACTACATCACGTTTATAGCTTCTGTCAATGGACTGTTAAAATATATTTCTATATAATTGTGTTTACTGGGTACAGTACATGACCCTTTTTACTCATTCGTATAATATTCTCATCAATACTTCACCTGTATGACACACACCTGACACTGTTCATTAACGTAAACAGGTGAATCACCTATATGGTACCTATGCTGACTGTTTTCCAATAATCTATAGCTGGTCACTACATTACATACCTTAGTCATAATCAGAAAACTTCTCTGCTATCACGTTGACTGTGCACATGAAAACGATAAGGTAGAATACTAATATATGTGTTGTTGATGATGTATCTCATTTAACAGCTGTGTGATGACGCAGAGTAATTCCTTTTTTGCTTACTGTGTCTATTACCAACTTCTTTTAATCGTGCAATCAAACGTGTGTTTGTTACGTTCCGTTAGATTCAAAACTAGCCATGCCCATTCCAACGTAGACATTTTAACAATAGCTTCGTACCGCACATTCTTAAATCATGTTAACCAAAACTTTATTCTGTAGCATAGTAGTTTCCTTTATTGTGATTGGACAAAACAGGTCAGGTCATTTTAAGTCCATTTATATCGATATGACCATGATAACAGGGAACACATCAAAATAACATACAACTACAACGTTAAACATCTCAACAATGCAAGTTTGTTGAAAGGGTAAGCAATTCTTGTATCTCATGTGGCTGCCATCAGTATATTTCTTATAGAATCGTGGCAATATGTCGATCACAAACGTTTTTAAGATTCTATATGCTAGATCCAGTTCAGGGAAGGTTTGATTGACTCGTAATGTAAGTTTACGTACGTATTTAAACGTTTTAATTGTTTGTAATTTTAATTGGATGCATACTAGATCAATGATACAAAGGGAAAAAGGATTGTCAAAGTGATTGTTCCAATCAATTATTTTTCAATAATTAAGCATTGCAACAGGGGTTGTATGTATAGACCGCGTGATTCGAATGTATGAGTCATTTGGCTCATCAAGCCTATCCTATTGTTTTTATATAAACAACACGGGTATATCAATATGTTTTTTTCTTGTGGATATTTACTTTTGTACGGACGCTTCCAGCATGTGAAAGGTGACGGAATATTTGTATAGTTATGAAATAATTATATTTACTCTCCTTTAAATAAAACAGGATATTTACCTAAATGTTTCTACCTGACAGATGGGCACATCGAGGATCAGGACATAGCTACCACGATTTGCAAGAAATACTAAAACTAAATGCTCTATTGTAGCCGAAAGCTGTAAATACAGCTTTAACAATATTTTCAGGAATAATTTTTACTTCCTTGATCGTAAGAACCAATGCTTTGTCCTGAGTGGACAAAACAGCCATATAGCCATATGGTGCATGATTAGTGAGGCTTTATGCTTAAAGGATGATCGTAACAACTCACACACAAAGGTAAGTGCACCTTTAGAAATTAAGTAATATATACAGTAAGCCAACAGTGAATTACACTGCATCATACCGCTGTTTCGTCCTTCTAGTAATCATCGATGATGCTGGGCGCTAAAAAGCTGGAAATCCAAATTTATCTTAACTTATATTGAAACATAAGGGGAGTGCTTAAAATCATTAATTATATTAATTAAAAGACACAGAGAAATTCTGGTTACATAAAATCTATAAAGGAGTAAAGTGTGAATATCAATGTTATCAATAGGTGTTTCACTGCTTCGTATTTTGTAGAGATTATTCCTCCATTCAACCCGTTTCCGTTGAAGTCGAACTTTTTCACCATTAGGCCGCTGGGGTCTCAGATAGTGTTTAAGTGCGACAAATCTATGACACGTGTATGCAAATAATTCCATATACCGTTACAAAAAAGTACCTCTTTATCAATTTCATTATAAAAACATGTCGGAAGCATATATTTTACAAAATCTGATTTACATAAAATACAACTTAATGCAAAACTGCTATCTAAATGATTTTTAAACAAACGCCTGCATCAGCTATTGAGGGTTATCAAGTCACGAACTTTACTTAATCAAATGTTAAATAGAGGAAGAATCAAGCACCGCATAAGCAAAAAACACAGGGACAGAATCCGAACACTTAGTCGATGAGAAAAAGATATTGAGGTAAAAGACGTGGTCAACCATGTACCTCGTGAACGAATCTCAAATATAGCAGATTACTTCATGTAACTACTTGTCAAATACACGTGATGACATTCAATAGTGTTTGATTTCTTATAAGTATGACACTGTCGATTCTTTTTACTTTCCATGTGTTGTTGTAGAATTGTTCGAACGTTCTCCTTGTTCGCATTTGTATTATTTATATATACATATCAATAGCAGATTCAGATATTCCCGAGATAAATAAATTATCAGTGTCAGCAAATATGATACGTGACAAACAACTCGAGACAAGTTTGGTGGAGCGCTGTTAGCTTAACAGGGGAACACTTTTTTTGCAAAATAGGATATTAAAAAAATGTGAATAATTTTGTTCTTATATGCTTAGCACTCGAATAGTAATTTGGATTAAAATGTCTATATTTACAAATATGTTACTCATATATCTTTAATGCATTTAAGTTAGAATCACTAGTATATTGTGTTACAGTCGATCCCAGTGAATAATGT